ATCATCCTCATTGTTATCAGATAATATTTTCACATTTTTCGGCTTTCCATATTGTACGTTCGTCTGTTAGTGTTTGTGATATTTAACATTATACTTGCATCACACATATTTATATATATATATAACTTATTTGATTAAGCATCGAAGTAGCTTCACACATATATATATATATATATATACATATATATATATATATATATATATATATATATATAATTCAATACATAAATATATATATATACATATATATATATACATATATATATATAATTCAATACATAAATATATATATATATATATATATATATATACATATATATATATATATACCCATTATAAATTTCATTCAATTGTATTAATCAATCTCCTCTCCGTTTATTTTTAATTAGAAAAATTTAGTGACGTCATTTTTTCATTTGGTTGTCGTCATCGTCGTCGTCGTCGTCATCGTAATCGTTGTGGTGGTGGTAGTAATAGTTGCGTTATACAAAAAAAATGCAATTACTGTATTGTATTGTATGGTATTATTTGTATATATATATATATATATATATATATATAGTTTTTTTTTTTAATTAATTGTATGCATAAAATACCTCTGCAACATTTTTAACGATTTCATTCATCAATTAAACCACCTAATTAATTAACGAACCAATTAACTAGCTATTTAATTTGTTGACTAAATTGCTTTTTTTTAATGTTCATTCACTTATTTATTATTTATTCATATAATAATAGTATTAATAACTTTATTCCTAATCTACTAAATAAACTTCTGAAAATCAAATTAACGGGACAGATGTTAATTATTATTATTATATAATTATTATTATATGATATATAAACTCCAAATATGCACCATATATATATATATATATATATATATATATATATATATATATATCTGTTTTTTATTTTTTACACGTTTTCAAGTCATTTTTAATTAAAAAAAATAATAAATTTATAATTAGATAAATTATGCGTATATAATTATTTATCTATTTAGTCATTCATTCATTCATTCATTTATTTATTTATTCATTTAATCATTCATTCGTTCGTTCATTCATTCTTTCTCTTATTCATTCGTTCGTTCGCTGATTCATTCATTCACAATTGTTTAAATGTGAATTAAATGAACGATCAATATGATAAATTATTTTTCTATTGAAACACTGTCGAAGCGTTCTTACAGGATAAAAAATTTCAGACACCGTCTTTTAGAATTTTTATTTCTAATGTGATTTTTTAACTCGGTTTAAAAATGAATTAATTTAAATTTTAATAAAATAATTTAGTTAAATTTGAAAACGAGAGAGAGAGAGAGCGAGAAAGAGAGAGGGAGGGAGAGAGAGAAAAACCTATCAGAGAAGAAAAGAAGAGGAAGAGAAAAAATTATGAAAGTGTAAGATAGAGAAAAAACAAGAAAGACATAGAAAGAGACAGAAAGAGAAAAAAAAACATCATGAAAAATTAAAATGTTATAATTTATTAAAGAAATCAAGACCACAGATCAAGCCATTTTCAAACAAACATAAGCATTCAAATATATTTCTCTTTGTAATAAGATCAATCAGTCAATCAATCAACCAACCATTCAATCCGTTTATCTGTTAATCAATCAATCAGTCATGTATTCTATCATTTATTCAATCAATCAATCAAACAATCATTCATTCATTCATTCATTCAATCGATCGATTGATCGATCAATCAGTTAACCATACATTTTCAGTCATATAAATAATAACGCCATTTGCGCGACAATGCTTCATTCAATATTATTTGTAATATTAATAATAATATTATTATTATTGTTGTTGTTGTTGTTGTTGTTGTTGTGGTTGTTGTTGTTGTTATTATTATTTTCATTCTCGTTTATATTGTCATCATTTTTTAAGATGGTGTTTTTCTTTTTCTTTCCGTAATGTTCCGCGTCATCATCACCGTCACAAAGCTTTTTTCCCTCCTTACGAACTCCAGCTGTCTCACCATCATCATCATCAACATCCAAATCGTCATCATCATCATCATCATCATCATCATCATCATCATTGCTAATTTTGTCAGCGACATCTTTATCATCACCGAATCTCTGCTCATCATCTGCGTTATCACTTTCTTTCTTAACGTTACAATCTTTATCATCATCGTCACAGGCACCTGAGCCCTCGTCACCATAATCATCATCGCCACTAGCGCCATCAACGATAATCTTTTCATCTTCATCATCATCGTCGTCAACATCATCTTCAGCATCATTTTTATCATCACCAGCCACATCAACATCATTCTTAAACTTCTTTCCTCTGTTTGAACTTATTTCGGCAATTAGTTTTTGCTGGTTGACTTGCAGTAGCGACTGCTGCCTCTCCAAATATGCCGCAACCACAGCCCGTCTCCGATGGAAATCCTGCAGCGCCGCCATGTACAGCCATGTTGGATTTATTAAAGTAGGGATGTGCTTCTGAGAGAGCTCTGGACCCCCGTGGTAGAGTGAGAGATCGATCGTTTGGAAGTGGAGATTGTGAGGTAGGTGGGATGGTAATGAGTTGGAGGAAGAGGATGATGGAGTGATTTGAAGTGCAAGATCGGGAGGTTGATGAAAGAAGTTAGGTGAGAATATGTTGCTGTTGTTGTTGTTGCTGGTAGATTGAGTTTGTTGTTGAAAATGAAGATCTTGTGGTTGTTGATGATGATGATAAAGACTTGATGGGTGAATGGGATTGGTTTGAACTGGGAGGTTGTGTTGATGGTGCTGTTGTAATCGATGGTGGTGCCGGTGATGAATGCCATATTGATTTTTGAAGCGATGTTGATGCCTCTGTTGATGCTGTTGATGTTGTAATCGTTGTTGATGTTGCTGATAATGTTGCAATTGTTGTTGTTGTTGTTGTTGTTGGGCAACTTTGTTGCTGCCGTTCATCTCAAACTTCGTAGACTCGACAGTAGCAGCATCGGTCGCGAGACCATCGCCGTCGCACTGTGAACCATCTTTCAGGTCACCATCATCTTGCTCTTCATTGCCATTGTTCCCATCACCAACGACACTGCCTGTGTTGTTGTTCGCGGCATATTTCAACCTACTGTTGCGAGCAATTTTGGTTACGTCTGGCGAATTGTTGGAAACTTTTTGAATTTCATTCCCAATTTCTCTAGCGAATGAATTATTTTTCTTATGCTGCCTGTTGTAAGGTGCCCAACGAGGTTTTTCGCTCTTCAAACTCTTCATTTTGCCAACTTTTGATTGGACAGTTTCGAATGCATTGTTGTTGTTGCTGCTGCTGTTGTTGTTGCAGCTGCTGTTGTTGTTGCAGCTGCTGTTGTTGTTGCAGCTGCTGTTGTTGTTACCAGTATTATTTGATGTGCTGGCAATTAGGTGTGCGTTTTGTAGATGTTTCCTTATTACAAGTTTGTGTAAGTTGCTGGTGTTATTGTCGTTGTTGTTGTTGTTGTTGTTGTTGTTGTTAATGTTATTGCACGGTGATATGCACGCATTATGGCAAGCTGGTTGCTGAAATTGAAGCAAGTCAGGAGGCACCGTTTTCGGAAAGTGTGAGGTATTGTTGTTGTTGTTGCTTTCCATGTTGTTGTTGATGTGATTGATGTTATTGTTGTTGTTGTTGCTTTCCATGTTGTTGTTGATGTGATTATTGTTATTGTTGTTGTTTTTCACGTTGTTATTGTTGTTAGCATTAAAAGCTCTCGCGTTTGAATCTAGCGATGAATGAATGTTGTTGTTGTTGATGTTGTTGCCTGCTTGTTGCTGATTTTGACCAGCATGCCTTATTCCATTCACATCTGTTGGATGATTGTTGCGTTTTGATGCGAAT